TTGAGTTCTTGCAAAGGGGGTCGTCTTACATATGGTTTCCCATCATTACCAAATACATTAAATTTGGATTCGTCACTCCAAACCACCAAATTCCAAAATTTAGAGTCCTTCCAGAGATGGTCTTTAGCAAACGCTTTTCGATTTTCAATATTTTTTTTTCGAAACGTTAGATTTTCGTCTTGCTAAACGGCTATTCAATGAATTTTCTTGTAGTCGTCTTCGTACAGTTTGCGCAGATATTGGTACGCCGTGGTATTCCTCTAATTGAGCCCTAATTTCTGTGGAGGTTAAAAATGGATCAGCCTTACTTAGCCTTACTAAGGCCCTATCGTCAGAACGGGTGGTCTTTCTTAGCTTTTTACGCGGTAAATTTTCAAAAGTCTTATTTTTTTTATAAAATTGAACAGCGTTATTAATTTTGCCTCGAGAAAATTCTAAAGCATCTACAACTTCGGCAATATTTTGATATTTTTGAAAACATTCCCATATGACCCTTCTTTTGCTTGAAGTTATGCTTTTATTCTTGCCCATGACGACGATGGCTACAAATTTTGTTAAAAATAACTTAATTTAGTAAAAAAGAACAATATTGATGTACGTTGTGGCGAAAAAATTTTAATTTACCCGTTTCAAACAGAAGGACTTAATTATGTGAGCACACTTTTATTGACAATAAATGGAAAATTCATTTAAACTCTCCCAAACGAAAATACTTGAATAACGGAACTTTTTGCTCGCGCAATATTAGTGATGTTGCATAAAGAAATATACCTTGTTTTTTTACATGTTGTGAAAAAGTACTGAATGACTTAATTATATGAGCACAAGTGTATATAAATATATGTCTATCGTTTTGTATAGGCAGGCAATCATTCGATACAGTTTGCTACCACAATACAAGGTAGGAGGTAAGATGACGTTTGTATACAATCGACTACTTCTGCTTGTTTCATTTCCATCCGTGTAGCCCTAGGTAAATAATAAGAGCAGGAGTAATAAGAAAACTAGTGTGATACTATTTATCTCGGATTTCGACTTCAATAATTTTCTAGTAATAACAATTTTAATCACTTGTCTCACAGAGACGTTAATTGAATGGTAGACGTTCCGGTCTAATGCTTACTGGTTCGGCGTTGCTAAATTCTTTGCTTTCGATCATCACGGTGTCATGCTTAAAATAAAAGAGAGAAAATAAAAGCTACAATTTGTTATAAAAGATGTGGTTTTCTAAGTAAATTTAACTCAACTTCTTTTAAGCGTAAATAATATAAGATGTATAATCTTGCTAATGGAATTGCATATACTCGTATGATATCGTTTAACAAATTTTTCTTGAATTACTTCCTTTGAAGTGAAATTTATCCATTATAAATGCCCATTATTCCTTCTTGTTTTTTGTTTTAGGATCGCGAAGAGAAAGCGGCAAAGGCAATCACTCCTCAGATATCGCCCCCACATGTTCATATTGCCAATGCACTATCGCCACAGGAATCAATCCAGGAAGAACCGGAGACTGAAGTAAACGAAGCACTTCCGCTAATGCAAAGACTACAAATGTTAAAGAATAAACAGGAAACGAAAGGCAGCGACGTGAAGCTTACAGTAAGATTTAATTTTTACAAACATGTTTTTGTATTTGAAAAAATCTTAAGCTTTTTTAAGATTAAAGTTAAAAACGTTAGACTCACTAGTATGCGCAACTAAAAGCTAATTGCCTGTGCTAATCTCAATTTTCCAAGGATTCCGGTGACAAAGAAAAAAACGTCCGTTCGCGGGTATAGTCTTTAATACAATGGCATTCTTTATTTCAACAGTTCATTAGTTAGCCTAAATCTTAACCTANAAAATCTTAAGTTTATGGTAATAGATTATTCTAATACATAGGTAGTAGATGTTTTCTTTTTGTTAATATAAAAATGGTAAGTATTTACATGATATAAAAAACAACATTTAATAATATTCATAGATTCTTTAATTAATTGTACAAATTTCCTTTTAAACCATTATTTTTAGACGTATAAAGTCGCTTGACGCAACAGTATTCTAGAAAGAACAGAATAGCTATTTTCTGGTACATATTTGTATATCGATATAAGAAGTGAAGTTTATATTAGTGTTTTAATCATTTATTTACACAGGTTAAACCAACTTCAACTGTGTCTTTAAAGCAAAAAATACAAATGCTCAATTTCGCTGGAGTGACAAAGACAGATACTATGGATGATAAGTCGAAAGACGATAAATTGGCCACTGAAGATCAAAAGCAGACTCCAAAAACACTTGACGTGCAGAGATGTATTAAACACGACCTAGGTGCAATTAATAAATCGCCAAAGGCGGTAACAGGAAAGTCAGTGAAACTCATAAAACCGTCCATAAACACGTCAACAGAACGCTCAGATAGTGATATGTCCATTAAGCCATGGTCCAAACTTAAGTTAGCGACGATAATGTCAACAAGTTCTAATAATTTAGGGAAATCTTCACCAGGAGATTCAGACGTTGAAGTAAAAACATGTTCATCCAATGAAACACCCCAAACGCCTTCTCTAGGGACAGCTGTATTTACATCCACAACACCATCTATAAATACTTTACATTCTGTAACTTCGACCAGTCCAAATACAAAAAATACAGAGCAAATGAAGATTTTAGAAAATATACGGAAGCAATCGAAAATTTTAGCAACAAATCATTCTAACGAAGGCAGAAAATCGTATCATTCTGTTTTTGATTTATCGCCCGAATATAGTGGATTACCATTTGTAAAGCGTCTAAAAATACTGAACGAACGTCAGAAGTTAGAAGAACTTGAAAAAGCACTACAAATGCGAAGTTTTAGCTTAGACAGTTCTAAAATAACAAGCCAACTTGCAGTGCCAGAACCGTTGTATCGATGCTTCAGTGATGTTTCTGAAATGTACTCGCAATTTTTTGCAGCTTATGAATCAAGTTCATCTAATTCGACTAACACATCTCTGTCAAATAACAACAATGAGAGGAAAGACAAATATATACCGCCTGCTTATTTACCTCTTAGTCCCGAACAAAATGAAACTTCTGAACGCCGAAAGTTGAAGTGTATTTTACAGAAACTTCGTCACAGTTCAGAAGAATGTAAAAGTGCTTTTCAAAATGAAAATGAAGACTCGTGCGTGACGGAAAAGACCAACAAGAAATTACTAAGAGAACCGACATTAGAAGGGTATGTGGCTAGACATAGTATGCTAATGAAAAGTATAACGATCAAACCAACTCTTTCTAGTCCACCCAACAGCGCTCACAGATCTAATGAAGATGAACAGTATGAAGCCTTGCGAACGACTAGTGGAGCCGAAGATAAACACGTAAACATTTCTCACGCGCCCATAATTTCCGCTTTTGGATGGGATAAATTCCCTGAAAATCGAGTATCCAGTGGCGCTCATACAAAAGCGGTCTCAAAACGACGAAATACTATTCAACTTAATAACAATGTGATGCAATATGATCCAAGTCCATCTCACACTAATCAACGTACAACAAAACGGTTGAAAACAATTGGGGATTCGTTGAGAACAGGAGGTAATTATCTTTTTGTGATCCTTTTTTATTCTATAGGAAGATCTGTCCGCGCATTGCTATGGCTATGGTATACACTAAAATTTATGTATTATATATATAAAACTAAGTTGGGTTTTTGTTTGTCCGCATGTTTGTTGCATGAAATGAAAAATTACCTGACCATTCAACATTTAACAAGCTGCAACACACTGAAAAGCGCAGTTATAGCGCGAATAATAACAAAAAAAATTTTTTTCCATTTCTTGCAAATTAAATACTTACTAAAATAAGACAATCAGGGAGATAGCAATAGATATTGCTTCGTCAGGAATTGCTGCAACCTTTCTAAAGGATGAGAAACTACTAATTCATCTTTTAAACTTTCGTTATCCATAAATCTTGAACAGCAATCAATATGTTCTATCCGCAAAAAGGGGACTCTTGGTGAACTATTGCAAGACGTCTCACTGATTATGTGTGATGAATGCACCATGAGCTATAAAGCACATATAGAGCCCGTGGACAGAACATTAAAAGACTTTAGACACTCCTTTGCTCTCATAGGTGGGATAGCTATTGTATTATATTTGCTGGAAATTTCCGACAGACTATGAGAACTCATCTTCATGGAATTACTGATGGTGAATATCCACAGCAACCACTTAAACTTAGGGAAGGAACTCCAATTATGCTTTTGATGAATTTAAGTTCTTCAAGCATGTGCAATGGGGCGAGGCTGCTTATTATGGAACTGAAGGACAATTTCATTTAATAGCAACCATTATTACCGACCCAGCACCTGGTCAACTAGCTCATATACCGAGTATTCCGATGATCCCAAGTAATCCCATTTAAACGCTTTCAATTTCCAGTGAAAACATCTTTCGCTTCATCTACAAACAAGACCCAAGGACAAACTTTCGAATTATTAGGGATTGACCTACGAAAAGAGTGTTTTGAATGTTTTACTTATGGCGAACTGTATGTTGGTCTGTCGCAGGTCAGAGGTCCTGAAAATCAATTTATATTGCTGCCACAGGGAAGCTCTGAGTCAATAAGCAGAATGAAGCCAGATCGGGCTGATAGTATTATCATAATAAACTATTTAATTCTATATAGGGAAAATATTGCTGATATAAGAGTCTATGGGATTTAACATGAGGCTTTATCGGAAATGAGCAAGTTAAGCTTGGTATCCAGTTGTATAAAACTTACCAATCATCAACAACATTCCTTAAATCGCAATGAAAWWATKTATGTTWCAACACACATACAYACRWACATATTACGCACAAAGTTYATTTTCTTTCGTTTATTCTCTCTTGCTCTTCTATTGTTGATCATTCACAATGCGTAACCAGCCGTCAAAATTACTTGAAGAAATAATAGGGGTATTCGCTTGCTCATGCAAGATTGCAGATTGCGAAAACACTATACCGAAATATACAAGGGCACAAGAGCACTCATTGCAGGATCTAGTGATATATGAACGGCTGATTCGACCAATTTATTGTGAATGACTATTATGCATGGCTATTGTGAATTGGCGCATCTTCTGTATACATTTTTAACAAAAAAACTGTAACAAATCTTTATAATTTAAGTAGAAATTATAAAATCTATTTCCTCAACAATTTAACGACGTAATATGTTTTTATGTACAATGACAGCTACCGTAAAACATGGTTGCAATATGTTTGCGTGACATTGCTCGCAAATAAAAATAGGTTTTGGTCTGACATATTTTACCACCATTGCAAATAATTTTCTGCGTGTGTTTGTTGTTGTGCCGGTGCACCAAGAGGGAATAGTAGAGCAAGCGAATACCCCTAATGTATTCTTTTTCTTGAGCAATTACTTGAGAGCAGGATACCAAGCAAGAGAGAATAAACGAAAGAAAATRAACTTTGTGCGTAATATGTWYGTRTGTATGTGTGTTGWAACATAMATWWTTTCATTGCGATTTAAGGAATGTTGTTGATGATTGGTAAGTTTAATAAAACATTATAAAAAGAAATATACTTCATAATATTGAATTTAACTAATTTAGGATGAATTTAACTATTACTTTGAATTTCCTTCAAGAAACAATTGTTGATTTCATGTTTCTTCGCAAAATAAGGTTTGCCATATTCGCATTTTATTGAAAAAATTTATTAAAAATTAGTACTAGATTTCTTTAGAGCTGCATACTAGCACAAGTAAATTTATCGCAGGAAAGTTACTTGACCGGTTCTTAAGCGTTTTTTTATGTGAAGTTTTTAGATTTCTTGAGAGCTGGATACTAAGCTTAACTTGACCATTTCCGATAAAGCCTCACACTAAATCCCATAGACTCTTATACCGGCAATATTTCGCTATATATATTAAGGAGGAAAATTTCTTGTGGCTTTTTGCCATACGCAAGTGGGTGAAATTCGAAAGCATCCCTACTTTTCTTACAAGATTTATGTTGAGAACCATTAAAAATGCTTCAAATCGTAGCAAAAAAAAGTGAGAGGCACAAATTTTTGCAGACAAGTTAATACACCTCTGCTTGTGAATTGGTGTAAAAATTAGACCCCTGCAAAATGGGGAGCTGTTAGCAAACGTGTTAGGGACTTGTTATTGTTCAATTTTGCATTCGTTAAAATATTTGTTAATTTTGTTCAGAGAGTGGGAAAAAAGTAACACATAGCTAATTAATGTTCAATGGTTATCTCGCTCTAACCAATGGCAAATATCGCATGCTGCCTAGTTCTAACAGCAAATCTTTTAACAGTATGTTGCGGGTCAAAAATTCTTTTGTTAGCGCAAAGCTTACCTATGTCCTATGGATAACAAAAAGTATTCGTTACCCGAATATCTGTTAGCGTTATTATTTTGGTTATCAGTTTGTTACCTTTAACATATAAACATGTTAGCAAGAACAAGCAGTAACAAGCATATCTGTTACCCATTTGTTACTTCTAGCAAATTCAATTATTTTAAATAAAATTCAGTTTTTTTTATTATTTCGCTTTATTTTATAATAAAATGAAAGTCAAATATTTACTAATATATACTATTATACCTATTATTATTACTTTCGGTAGAAAAATAATACAAGACCAAGTTTATTTCGGTATTAAGATTATAATTCTAATAATTCGTATTTGTAAAAGTAAAATTAAAATCTTATACTTAAAACTAACATGTACAACTAATATTTACAACTTAAAACTAATATATATAAGTAATGATAAGAAAACTATGTATATTAATTTGGCCTTAAGTTTATGTTTTTTCTGTTTAAAACGATTGTGGCTTAAGGCCAAAAATATCCGAAGCTATCCATATACAGTGTTTCTATCCTTGTTAGGAAATATATGAGCATTTCCAAAGAATCGTCAACCAGGACCAAAAATTAAAATGTTAATAAAGATAACATTTTTTAATAAGATTTTAAAAAGACGTTAAAATTTATTGAATAAAATGTTTTCATAACCTCTCTCTGGTATTTTCATGAAAAGTTTGACCTGAAACCTGAAAACTTATTTGTTTTTACTTTGAGCTCTACAAGTACTTTTTCTCTTGAGTTATTTTATATGAATAACTTATGTTATGATTGTACTTTTTCACAAAATCTCTTTATTAGTACCAAATAAGAAGAGAAAAATGCAAAGAGGCCAAACAAAAATCGAATAACGGTAAATTTTTATTTTGCTTATTATCTAAGATCTAATCGTACATTCGCGACCAAAAACGTCATTTATTGCTATTACTTCACATTGAATGCAAACAGGTGCCTAAAGCAACACGATTAAAGCAAGTTAAACATCCGTAATCAAAAAATAAAATTACTTTAGGTAAACAGTGCATCAAACTTTTCATTTCGATTTTCAAAATTTCTTACGTTCGCGACCGTAAATATTGATTTGTTTCTAAACAAGTACATATTTTTAATTATTATTTTAATACACACATATTTATATTTATTTATAAAGATGGGTAAAACATGTGCCAAATCGCAAAAGGTCAAACATCAGGTGTACTTGGACAAAATCAAAAGCGATCCCGAAAAGATAAAAAAATATCGTGAAAAAGCAGTTGAAAGAATGAGAAAACGCCACTCAGAGCTATCAAAATTGCCAAAAAACAACAAGCTGTTAAAAGCGATTCAGGAAAAAGAACGTAAGAGGTTGAAAATATACCGCTAAAAAAAATTACAGTAGACAAGGAGAAGAATATATTACTTATACTTGCAAACAAACATTAGGGAAAGCCCTAAAGAAAGAGACTTGGCAAAGAAAGTGGAAGTCATTGCTGCACTGCATAAAAAGTATATCGAACCAACAAATTGTAAAGAAAAAAATACTCGTACATTTGAAAGTGACTTGGAATTGGTGACAAACCTAAAATTGGCGAAAGAAATTTTTTTGCGTGAAGATATCAGCGTACAGGCTGCAGGAAAAAGGGATACTCATTGTTGATTTGAAAATTGTTGCTAAGCGTTTTATGCTCCTAACGATATCGGAGCTTACGACTTTTATAAAAAAGATTTTGGGAAAAGCGTAAGTAAATAACGATTTTTCGAATGTCTCCCAAGAAATGTTGAACTTTCGAGCAAAATGCCACACATGTGCGTATGCATGCGTCACGCCAATTTCAGGCTTCGAAAGTTTCTTAAAATTAGTTTGTTGCAATATCGAAAATGAAAATTGTATGACAAACGATTGCGAAAAGTGTACAAAAGATGTAAAAGATATTGTGCCGCTAAAATACTTGTCAAAAATGGACGCAAATTATAAATGGCAGTACTGGAGGAAAGTGGCCGATCGTGTAATTTTGACTTGCACTGTTGCTGCGTTATCGGACTAGCTCCATGAACTACAAGTTCAACTGCCAATTTTCAAGCCACATTTCTTTGTAAAGCGAGCACAACAAAATTATTTTGAAAACTTAAGGAAAAATATCACGCCTGGGTTACTTGTCCTACAAATAGATTTTGCGGAAAATTATAGGCTGGTGTATCAAAATGAAATTCGAAGCGCACATTTCAA